AAATGTAACTGTTGCATACTGGGTATTGCTGGTATTTTCAGCGTATTTCTGTCAGGGATAAAAAACATGTTGAGAATTGTGCAACTTCTTCTGCCTCAGCTGATTAAACTCCTATGAGTAATTACTATGCGGCAGTGGCTTTCAGGAGCATTCCGATAATGCATTTTGAAAACAGGTGGACGCAAAGCACTTATGATAAGATGGACTGACACCTTGTAGCAGGGCAAACTAGGCAGCTGAAAACAAATTACTTCACACCTATAGCCTGCAGTTATTTTGGAGAGGTGCTTTGTACACAGCCAGCGTCTGTGTTGTCATAATACTGATGCATTACCAAAACACTGACTTCTAGAAACTTGATGAATGAATAATGAGTTAAATTACTTTGCTGATCTCACCATCAGGTTTTAGAGTGAGCCCTTGAAACTGGGCTCTTAAGATTCCCCCAACAGCCTCTCTAATAACTAATCAATACATTTTAACCTGATTAAGACCGCTGCAGACATTCACTAAGCAGGGGAGAGGATTGAGACGTGCAATGCGATGGCATCTCGTCAGTGTGAGAAAGGGGAGGGAAAAAAGTAGCTTCACATCCGTATGACCACGTCTCCCTGTGATATTGTTAAACCTCTTCAAAACCTGTACTTGTCATATCTATTTTTCATTGCCCTTCAAGCTGGTGGGCTGGCAAGACTGTAGGGGGATGATCTCTTGAAATATTCATTACAAAAGCACCCAGGACATGGTGTGACTCTCTTTTTAACACTCAACTCCATTTTTTTAGCTAAATGTAGCTATAACACTACTGGTTAGAGCTGTACTTGCTTCAGAAAAGAAATTGTTGCAGTTATCATTTTGTTAAACATTCCCCCCCATTTTAAATGGCACAAGCTAAGCCTAAGAAAGCAACGAAGTGGAACTATATTTGATATAGCTTAGTGGGCCTGAGCTCAGGCTTGCCTTTAATATAGTGTATAGTCAGTGATTCCAGTCATGGTCTTCTGAACACTGTAGCGTGGCCTTTCTTCCTTTCTCAACAGAATCTTAATGTTTAATGGTCAATGATGATCTAATCATTTCAAGCAGTTGAACCCTAGCAACTAAGCCTGAATAAAAATTACTCAACAATTCCCTCCTATGCTCGTATGTGACCGCTGAACATGCCCTGTTGTGATGTACTGGAAGCTGGGGAGGATAATGGTTGCATCTAGTACTGGATCAAGACCAGCCAGCGCAAATAAACACATTCTGTCATCTTGCTCCTCAGGAACTGGCTATGGATTTGTCTTCCAAGACGAGCAATTTAACTTAGAGTGACTTAAAGTGCTCATGTTTTAAAGCAGGAATAAGCTTTAATACTGCAACTTAAGTGGAGGACTGTCTTTAAGTCATCAAAAGATGTCAGCTGACATAAAACTGGGCAGGCTACATTGCTCCTACTCCGTGGGTAGGTCGACTCGATTATGATCTTTACTGCATTCGTATGGTAGACTGCAAAGGTGGAATGTCAGACCTGTAAACACAGAAGGCAGGAAGAACTACCCCATATGGCATGAGCACTACAAGCACACGATGAACACCCAAATGTGAGATTACAAAACATAGGCGACACCAAGTAGTATTATGCAATGGTGAAAAAAAAAGCAGCAGCCTTGGTAAAAACTATGCTTGGTGATGCATGCAAAATGAGGGAAAATCGCCCTTGGGTTGGATGCAATGGTTGTGCAATATCTGCATGCATACTGTAAAGCTGTGCACGGTGTACATGAAGCAAATGATCATGCATCTGTCACGCCGCTGGCTGTATTCGTTGTTAATGAAAACAGCTCGTTTAAAGACATCGTGAAATGTGACACATTTCTAGAAAAAGAAATTCTTGCTCTGGTCTACAAACTGGAGTTGCCCTCACTTCCTAGTTTGCCGCTTCTGTCATAGCTCGGCTAACACCCTTCTTCCTCCGTATCCAGCAAACAATTTTCGACTACATTTGCTGCTGCTGCTGTTGCCGCCGCCGCTGCTGCTACGGCCGTGAATTCAAGTCTGCTGGCACTGGTCAGAGGGAGAGCTGTGGTAGCGTGTCGTCTCAGTGTGGCATGCAAAATTACACTTACATTTCACCACCCTGTCCGTCGTAGATAACTTCGGTTCATCATTCGGCTTGTTTTCGGACATTTCCAGTGTGATATAATATTGAGATATAGCAGAAATGAGACTGAAAACGGCCCCTGCGTTGCTCTTGCCGAACTCTTGAGTCTCTCCGAGAAAAGAGACCGCAGTGATCTCACTTGGTCCTATCAGCGGCCAAAAATACTTGCAACGGGGTTACAATTTCACTGCTGGTGCTGTAGGAGCTGCTGTGTCTGATTTACTGTTACTCTGTATCAAGTTGTCTGAGCGCAGTGCGCAGTCAAACCTGCTAACCCCCAGGACCCGCCCCCAGTTGGCCTCGACTCCTCCTATTGGTGGAGAGCGGCAGCCTGCCACTCAGCCTGCACATTCACATAAAAAGGGTCGCTTCTGTGTCAATGTGGCCTGGTATGAATAACTTATAACAACGTCATATATTTGCACAATAAAAATAATCAGGGGATGAAAAAACAAGTAAATGTTTTTGCACAATATATGTTCATAAATGCAAGAAGATAAAATATAAGTTTAGCACCAACAAATAGTTGAAAAGCATTTGGACCTAGGAAAGACATTCTCAGTATGGAAGCCTATTTCTACCAGAAAAAAAGATTTTAAAAAATAAGACAAAAGATTAAAATGCTTTTTATTTAAAAAGACAATCCAAAATAATCATAATTTCTGTTAATATGCAGGTGTTGGCCAGCTGGCTGATTTTCAACTGCACTTCTATAACGAGATGTTCTGAAACCAATATATGAATGTGATAAATGTCAGTAGTAAAAAAATAAAAAATAAAAAACCCAATATTTTGCGATAGTAAGTAAAAATGCATGCAATGAAAAGTCTATCTATTATTTAGTGATGGTGTTAAATAGGTTGAGACTGATATATTGCTTTGTTTTTTTATTTAAAAAAAACAGATATGTTAATCACTGCCATCTAAAGTTGTTTGATTCCAATTCAGCATTTGTGAATAATTTTTAATTATAATGTTGTTATTGTGATTAAAATGTTTTACTTACCGTGAGTAATTTTTATTTTCATCAGGACTTAGCCTATGCTTTTCAACTTTCTGTATTTCCCGACAACTAAAAAAACTATTCTCATCTGTGTCATTTTGATTTCTCCCCATTTTTTGGTCAATAGCAGTAGAAAAATATCTCAAACAGTAAGTAAAGTAGCCAGATTTTGTGAGATTTTCATTGGATTTTCATAGTTCCCTGAGGATAAATCCTGATAGTTTTAGTGACCCAGTGATCTTTCTGTTTATTTCCTTGCCTCAAGCGCCACACTCAGGACCAAATAAACATTGCACACAAGATATTTCAAAATCTAAGATATCTCAGATTTCCTAACATTGAGAATATTCATGCTCCCACAAAGATATTTTGATTTCCTCCAGCACCATCCTCAGGATAAGATTTGCACTTTCACTCTTTTCACTGTTTACATTGGTGATATCATTATGGCTATTTCATGGAAGTCATGATTTACGTGCCATATTTGTTTGCCTCCATTTTACTAGTTATGTAGAAGTAGCTGGCTTTGATAGCTTTATTGTCTGCTATAGAAGTTTATTTAGGTTTTGTTCAGTTGAATTCACTACAGATCCAAAGGGAGGTTTCATGTCATGTCTCTGTGGTTAGATCAGTGCAGTCACACAGAAAATGTGAGAAAGTGAAAGTTTTGTGACTCTGCATCCATGGGAACAGAGTGATCTTTCATTGGTGAGTCACCAGTTACACCGCACAGGCGATTTGCAAGAAGGAGATTTCACCTTTCACCTGCTCATTTCCTTAACACTTGAGCATTTCAGATACCCCACTACTGCTCAAACGAAATAAATGGTGGCAAACTGCTATTAGTGAGACACTGGTGTGGTATTAGTCAGTTGTTTGGAAGGTGGATGCAGTTAATGAACCCCTGAGTTTCACATTTCTCTCAATGAGGGACTGTGCATAACAGGTCAGAAGCACACCACAGCCTTTTATCTCTGCCTGTAGTGGAGACATTCACACCACATCATTAGTTTTAACACACCTCAGGTTGTAGGGCTCTGCTTTGCACCCATGGCTCTGCAGACTTAATTAAACTGTGGTCAAGTCTGAGACTTTCACTTTCTGATCATCTGTTTTCTGCTTGACAATGACCTTTGTTGTTTATTAGGATTATATTATTTTGGATGGGCTTTTTTTGTTTCTATTTCAGTTTCAGTTTGGGCTACTTGCACTGTAGCTTTGGAAGTTTTTATTCCATAAACATATATATAGTGTTATATAATAAGAAAATAAGGAATCACTCAAAAATTCTCCAGCCAAAGTTCATTTCTCAAACTGAAAAATGTATAATTTTACATTATTATTATAATTATACATACAGTGACCCTTTTTTTAATCCTACTGTACCGCCCTCTTCAGTGAAAAATTATTATCTAGATATTTGCTTTTTATGATTTCATATTTTATCAATACACATTTGTAACTACCCATTTTGTGTACCAGGTTTGTTAGTGACAGTACCAGCAACACGTTGATAGCAAAACTAAATCTGGATGACAAAGCCTTGATCCAAATCACATAATCTGTTTTGGGAATTTCCCAAGACATTCATATAGTACGAAGAACATTTAATTCCACTGACTAAAACACTTGGAATTTCTGCCATTGAACTAGTGCTGTAGTACACCCGTGCTTCTTCATTGTCACCAGAGCAGAGAGCAGGCTCTATGTTCACTTTAAAAAAAAGTCTAATTTCTTTATCCCCTTCGGCGTAGCAGGAAACACCCTCTTATCTGAGCTCCTCCTGTCAATAGCAGTGCTGTTTTCCATGTCACTGTGAAGTGAGATCGGCAGACAAACAGCACTGTAGCCATGAGCCAGTCAGGTAAGCTGTCCAATTGCATTATTTATTCATGAATTCATTACTACAAAGATTTTTTTACTGGGGTAATGAAAATGATTAATTGCTTTAATATAGAAGTCTGGCTGATTTATGATTCTCTGCAATGCTCAGGGCAACATTTTGGTTAAAATTGGCACAATATATCTTGGAACAATGGCAAAGTAAAATGTCTATTTGTGGCTGTTTTTGAATATGTCAGTGTCAAAGCAACATCAACAGCACAATTTGCAATGACAGCTAAGCCATTTCACTGCATCCTCTACAAAGAGTTACATTTTAATATGCTACACTGAGAGTGACAGCAAAAGTATTTTTTCACTATTTGGAACAGTTGAAAAGTCTGGAAACTATAGTTGCTATAAATATATCTTTTGCAGCCTAAATGCATTATTAAAAGTAGTGAGAATATGGTGTTTTTACTGAACTCACAGAAATGATGAAGTGATTTTTTTTTTCACATTTCTGAACAAATATTTTTTTTCTTGTAGCTGAGGAGCTGTTAATCATCTATGAGACAGAGGCAGAGCAATGGGCCACGTACCTGCATTCAGTCTTCACTGGTCCAATCTCAGAGGCTGGAATCTGCTGCTACGACATTGCTACAGTGTCCAGCTGGCGGGACGACTTCCTCATTCTGGCCCGGTACACATGCAAGCTCCTGATCCTTTCTAAGGGCATGCTGGAGTGTCTATGCAAGATGCGGCGCCTCTTCCTGGCCCGTGTATTGAGTCCCGCTGCTCATGTGGTGGTGCTGCTGTGTGGGGTGGAGAGTCTGACCCCACTGCTGGAGCTGGTGCCCCTGAATGGCGATGAGTGCCTGCAGATCTCCAGTGAACAAGATGCTCATGAGTATCTGTCCACTGTGACTGACATTGTGAGAAAAGGTATGGCATTGGCTCCAAAAAGGTTTTCATTTTGAGTTTTTTGTGGACCCTCAAACATCACTGACCACCTGTTGATAACAGTCTTGCTTTATTTGATTTAGTATTGGCTGTATTACAGAAGGGAAGGGATACGTACTCTTATTATTCCACCTCCGCCAGTTCTGCAGAATGAATTAACTGTGAAATTCACTTAATTGTGTCATTTACTCTGGACCTTTAGGACGCCCTAAAAGACCTCTGCAGGTCCCTGACTTAATTTCAGGAACCAGTGAGGTATGAAATTCCACCCCAGTTTCCCTCTAATATTTGATATTTTTTGTTTGTATTTAAGTGTTATTCCAATCTAAGTGTTTCCAACATAATTTTAATCTTGACAATATTATTTAGAGCATGCATTGAATACCCACTGAAACTTTAACATAATAATTGTTCAAATAAAATTAATTCATGTATGCTGAATTGGAGTAAAATGTGTCTCAAAGTCATTACACAGGAGTCAGGTGGCACTGATTGACAGTTTAAAAAAAAAATTCCAAAAACACAGCAATATCAGTCACAGCCTGTTTGCCACCATTAACAAATATCCTAATGCTTGCCAGTAAAACAGATTTAGCCACAGTGTGCGTCCCAGTCTTGAAAACCCAGAACATAATCACCCTCTTCAACATGTTGTTTCTTCAGGAAAAAATTCACATGGACTCGCGGTTCCCCTGGCATAAATGTGAGGGGAAAAGAATGCTCATTATTTGTGCCTGAGCAGCAGCTCGGAAACCTTTTTGCTGACTTTTTTCCTGAGAATTGTGTGCACTGAAGATTGACATCCAATTTTTGTTTAGCACCAGCTGCAGACATGTTTGTGTGTATCTCAACCGTGTGTATCTTTAGCATGTCCTCATCCGCCTGGCCAATTATCCTCTACCTCCTTCCCTGATTTTCCTAATTGCACTATTTGTATAAAATCATAAAGCAGAGGAGGGGGGGGCTTGTATTTAAACAGGTGTGTACGCAGGAGGAACATCTGATGCAAATAGCCAGTGTTTCCTCTTGGGCCATGACTGACTACTCATCAGTAGCCATGCAAATTCAAGTGCACTCTGCATCACTCCATTGCACTGATACAGTGAAGTGGTTCAGGCCAGGATCCCACGAACAGTTATATATTAACCCAGAAGTACCTTCCCTATTCATATGAGATGATGCTGTTTGTTTGTTAGCACACAGGCAACTCGTGTTTGATGAGTTATTGTGCACGCGGCTGAAGCAAGTACACTTCATGACTCATAACAATGAGCCACCACTAATATAAATGAAAAGTACAAGACCTTTTATATTTCAATTTTTTATTTGAATCATTTTTTTTTTTTATCGAGTTTTTAATTTAAGGTAATTTTAGCTTAAGTCGGTTTTAAATGACAAGGTGTGTTGAGCTAAAGGCATGCTAACGTACTCACAATGACAAAGTGAACATGCCAGCAGGTATACTGTTTCTTAATGCTATATCTAGGCAGGTGTAATTTTTCACCATCTTACTACAGTTTGTTTGCATGCTAACATTTGCTAATTAGGAAAAAACACAAATAGGGGGACTTGGGTACTAATTTCATAGCAATTTTATATCAGACATTTAACTCAAAACCATAAAATAGAACCTCTTTGTGGTACAAAAGGACAGAGGATCACCAAAGCCAGTAGGATTCATCTTCTGGGGACCATGAATGTTTGAACAAAACTTGTTGGTTTTATTTCAGTCTGGACAAAAGTGGTAACCCGTGCCGCTAGCATGGTTAAAAATGCACCTCAATAGCTCATTGCATCTGAATCTAAGACATCACTGGAGCATAATTCAGCATGAGGTTTAAAGTCCTATCTTTTGTAGGCATGTCACCCTCAGCAGCAAATGTCAACACCTTCATACAAAAACCATCAGGATCAGAGCAAAGGGCTGGACAAATGCAGTCAACTGGAGCCCACAGTGTCAGATCTAGCATTGTGGTTGTTCCTTCCAGAGTTCCATGCGGGGTGAGACAGTCATCTAATCAGTAGTAAGCAATTTCTTTTTTTCATGAAGCATCCCTTACATTGACTACACTGCAGTTCACTGTACTGTCTCTTTGGCAGAGCCCTATGGAAGTGTTCATTCTCTTGAAAAATGAGGCGGTTGGCAGCGACGCCGATGTTGAGTTCACTGGTGAGAAGCAGATGCTGAGAGTGAAGCCTGTCTGCTGGAATGAGCGGATCCTGTGTGTCAAGGCACCAGGTGAACAAAATAATACGAAATAATAAATGTATGATTAACAAAATACTTCTGTATCAGTTTTAGCCCAGCCAGTTAACAGTTTCGGTATGTTTTCTGTTGCAGATTTTCCTGCAGGGAATGTAAGAGTGACTGTATACAGTAATGGAGTGCCACTGAGCAAGGCACAGCTGCAGTATTACAGCAACATGGAGGAAATAACCCGCCTTTTGGCAAGGGCAGCAGACCCAGTTGATTTCATGTGTCAGGTAAAGCCATTAAAGGGTTCTTTCACTTCAAATAATATCCACATTTTAGTTGTTGCACCTTATTTGCAGTGTTTTTATCAAATGTGAAATTTCACGGTTCTTACACACAAAGCTGTGCTTGCTGGTCATGAGGAGTTCTACAGGGCTGGTAAACCAGTTGCATAGTGTCTTCTGTGGCTCTAGTAGAGCTTTGTCAAGTCCGAAATATTCTTGCTGATGTCATCAGGGTTATTTTGTCTTGGGCTTGGAGACTACACATTTAAATAGCTGCATCTATTGAGCTTGGTATTTAACCACCAACCCTAGTGTTACAAAAACAGTATTTACTAAGCAGGCAGGGTCTAACAAATAAATGCGATTGAGTAGCCTTATGGGAAATGGAGGATTAAGTTCCCCTTTGAGGGAACTTGAACTGCGTCGGTGACGACACAATGGGAACCCCTCTGGGCGTGGCAGGGCTGAACTATGAATGAAACTACTCCAATCCTATTGGTGTTGCTAGAAAGGTAGCGTGTGACGGCGTAACCGGAGGGGTATATAATCACGTCGGCACACAGGACACATTAGCCTTTTTTTATTCAGCAGGCACTCTGAGTATGTTTGGAAGCTCCACTATTGAGAAAGTTGTTGTCTTACCTGGAAATTCTGACATAGCAGTAGAGACCATGTCGGGTAATCACACTACACTACAGCAGCGTGACAGAAACTAAGCAGCATGGCTTTGGAACGATGCCTCGGGTGGAGGAAGCACTTACGAGCTATCTTTCTCCCACCCTCGCTTCATTCCTTCAGACGCCGGCGCTCCCCACCAAACCGTGTCGGACGACATCCGCTTTGGCAGCGGGTCGAGCTGGTGCAAGCCTGCACACCATGGCCACCTAGCAGGCGTACCAGGCCGATCTTCTCAAAGACTGTGACCTAGGGGGAGGTCCCTCTGAGGAGGACCTGACTGAGCTCCGTAGAGCTACGGACTTAACACTCCGTGTTACCAAGGAGACGGCCCATTTCAGTGGCTACGGAATGCCATCTGTGGCTCAACCTCTCGGGCATCCAGGGGAAGGAGAAGGCTTTTCTCCTGGATGTGCCCCTCTCTCCTACTGGCCTGTTTGGTGAGGCAGTGGATGCTGTCGTCAGCAGGTTTCAGCACGCCAAAGGCAGGGAGAGGCGTTTGAGCAATATCTCCCCCGAAGGTCTGGGTCCAGGACGGCGACGGCTGGAGACGAGCTCAGCCCTCGGCTAGCTCCTACCGCCGGAGCCAGAAGCTAAGCGTCACTTCCCGTAGTCCCTCTCAACAAACCGGGCTCGGGGAAGAGGTCCTGAGGTTTCGAGTAGGGGGGCCCACCACCACCACCCCCCGAGAGAGACTGACCGAGGTCCCCATCCCTCGTGGCGGCTCAGGCAACAGGGTTCCCGCTGTCTTGGCGCTCGGGACATGCTAGCCGCCAGCGAGCTCTCACCAGTCTGCCCGCCTCGAGGGGTTGCAGCTGGGAAACGATCGGGCTCACACACCGCGGGTTGCCGGTGAGTTTCCCTGGCGGTTCTCCGCTTCAGGATGCCACCGGGGACCTACGCATAACACCGGCCACCAGCCCCGAGGGGTTGGTTCCCTTAGCGGATTTTGTGGAAGCATGGCGGAGCCTTGCAAATATTTCCCCGTGGGTCCTGCGCACCGTAGTGGATGGCTACAGGCTGCAGTTCCGGGTCCACCCCCTGCAGAAGTTCAACGGGGTGGTCTGGACTGCGGTGCAGAGCCAGGTGCTGGGACAAGAAGTTCGCTCTCTGCTGGAAAACGGGGCCAGAGAGCTTATTTTCCCGCCAGTCAGGGAGTCCGGGTTCTACAGCCGGTACTTCATAGTTCCCAAGAAGGACGGATGGGTTGCGTCCGATTTTGGATCTGCGGTCCCTGAACCAATCTCTGAGGAGATTCAGGTTCAGTATGCTCACCATCCCCGCCATCATCCGTTCCGAGGATTGGGTTGTCACGATAGATCTGCAAAGACGCTTATTTCCAGTCTCCATCCGTCCCTCTCACAGGAAGTTCCTGAGGTTTGCCTTCAAAGAAGAGAAAAGAAGAGCGGCTTACCAGTATCGGGTTCTTCCGTTCGGCCTAGCACTCTCTCCCCGCACGTTCACCTAATGCATGGATGCAGCTCTGGCCCCACTGAGGCTCCAGGGCATCCGCATACTGAACTACATTGACGACTGGCTCGTCCTGGCCCAGTCTCGAGAGTTAGCGGTTCGGCATCGAGATGTCGTCCTCGCCCACCTTCAGCGTTTGGGGCTGCGGCTCAACGCGAAGAAGAGCGTGCTGACGCCCGCCCAACAGACTACATTCCTAGGGGTGGTGTGGGACTCAACGACGATGCGGGCCCACTTGTCTCCCGCACACATCGAGTCCATTTTATCCTCAGTTAGGCCGCGCCATCACTGTAAAACACTTTGCAGTGGTGGCTAAAATCCAAGGGATTCTCCCCGAGGGGAAATCTGCTCCGTCTGATATGGGTTACGAGCAGATGCCTTCGTTCCCTGTCTCTACGGAGGAAATCTTGGTTCCTGTCCCAAGGTCCCGTGTTGGGAGCGATCTTTCGCCGAACAATTATTTCAACAGATGCCTCACTCACGGGATGGGGCGTGGTCATGGGCGGCCGCTGTGTGAGAGGCTCCTTGGAGGAGCATCATTTCTCCTGGCACATAATTTGCCTGGAAATGTTGGCGGTATTCAGAGCTCTGAGGAGTTGTCTGCCCGCTCTCCGCGGTCGCCACATCCTTGTCAGAACCGACAATACAGCAGTGGTGGCCTAATTGAATCACCAGGGGGTTCTGCGCTCGCGCCCGTTATGCATACTGGCACATCAGATCCTCCTGTGGTCCCAGCAGAGACTGCTGTCCCTCAGAGTGATGTACGTCCCTGGGACCCAGAATCAGGGAGCAGACCTGCTGTCAAGACAGGGGCTGAGGCCCGGGGAATGGAGACTCCACCCCGAGGTGGTGGAGTTATTATGCGAATAATCGGCCCCATAGACGTGGACTTGTTTGCGTCTCGAGAGACTACGCACTGTGCCCTGTGGTTCTCCCTTTCGCCCCCAGCCCCGCTAGGGCTGGATGCCATTGTGCAGACGTGGCCGAGGCTGCGTCTGTATGCATTTCCCCCAGTCGCTCTGCTCCCGGGGGTTCTGGAGTGGGTCCGCCAGGACAGCGTCAGTCTACTACTAGTAGCCCCGTTTTGGCCGGCACGAGTGTGGTTCTCGGATTTAATATCACTCCTCGGGGGCCCGCCCTGGCAGGTCCCTCTGAGGAGAGACCTGCTGTCCCAGGCGGAGGGCCGGATCTTTCATCCGCACCCCGCCCTGTGGCAGCTATGGGTCTGGCCCCAGAGGGGGTGCAGTTCCTGGAGGCGGGCCTGATGACAGGAGCAGTCGAGACGCTGCTCAGCTCCAGAGCCCCGTCCACGAGAAGGATGTACGGCCTAAAGTGGAATGTGTTCACCACCTGGTGCAGAAAACGGGCGGTGGACCCAGTTACCTGCTCGGTAATTGTGATACTGGAGTTCCTCCAGCACCGTTTCTTCACTGGCCTCTCCCCGTCCACGCTCAAAGTGTATGTGGCTGCCATTGCAGCATTCCACGCCCCTCTGAGTGATGGACCCTTGGGGAGGCTTCCACTGGTCGTGCGCTTCCTCCGTGGAGCCAGGAGGATGAGACCCGTGACTCGTTCCAGGGTTCCCATCTGGGACCTGGCAATGGTTCTCGAAGCACTGGCTGAGGCCCCCTTCGAACCCCTGGAGTCAGCTGGGGCCAAGCACCTGACCCCTAAGATGACCTTTCTCCTCGCTATCACCTCTCTGAGGAGGGTGGGGGATCTTTAGGCACTTTCGATTTCTCCCAAATGCCTGGAGTTTGCCCCGGGGAGGGTCAGGGCCATCCTGCACCCTTGTCCAGGTTATGTCCCTAAGGTTCCAGCCAGACTGGCAGGGTCCACGGTGCTGCAGGCGTTTCATCCCCCACCTCATGTAACGGCGGAGGACGGGAGACTTCATCCGCTCTGCCCTGTCAGAGCACCGAGTATTTACACTCTGAGGTCTTCCTGGTGGAGGAAAGCAGACCAGTTGCTGGTGTGTTTCGGGTCCCCCAAGGCTGGGCTCCCCGCTTCTAAACACACCATCAGCAACTGGATCGTTCAGACTATTTCCCTGGCCTATCAGGTGCGCGGTATTGCCTTCACCTATGGCCGTAAGGGCGCACTCTACTCGAGGCATGGCGGCTTCTTGGGCCCTCCTCGCAGGGGCGTCACTCCAGGATTTGTGTGACGCGGCTGGCGGGGCCACCCCTCACACTTTCATCTGGTTTACAGTCTGGACCAGGCACCCGGGGTTTCGGGCGTGGCCTAAGTGGGTATCTCGTTCCCATAGTGTCGTCACCGACGCAGTTCGAGTTCCCTCGAAGCGGAACGTCTCGGGTTACGTATGTAACCCTTGTTCCCCGAGAAGGGGAACGAGACACTGCGTCGGTCCGCCACACCTCACCCCGCCTGGAGTGCCTTGCTTCATAGAAAAGGGCTAATGTGTCCTGTGTGCCAGCGTGCTTATATACCCCTCCGGTTACGCCGTCACACGCTACCATTCTAGCAACACCAATAGGATTGGAGTGGTTTCATTCATTGTTGTGCCCTGCCACGCCCAGAGGCGTTCCCATAGTGTCGTCACCGACGCAGTGTCTTGTTCCCCTTCTCGGGGAACAGGGGTTACATACGTAACCCCAGACGTTTTTTGAGGTTGACCCATAGAAGGGACAAAAAATCAGGGCACCTCTTTGATTTTGACCATTCTTTCTTTAATCTGTTGTCAGTCCCCAACTTTATGGAAGTGCAATACTAGATGGAGGACCACTTTTGAATATGAGATAGTTGGGGTTTTATTTTATTTTATGTGTGGAGTCTTAAGAACAGACTGGCTGGCAACATGGCAACATTTCAACAACAACATTGTAATAAAGATGTACATCATTATTTCTAAACTTTATTTATCTGGTGAAGCTGTAAAAAAGAAAGTAAACGTAAAATTGCAGGATATATACAGAACAAGCAGTGAGCATACTTCTAACTTACTTTTAACACTAGTAAATGCATTCAGACATCTATAAATTATTAATCTAGGGGGCAATGTATGAAACATATTCAAATACTGTGCTTTTCTCTCTCTTCTCAATACAAGTAACTCTTCTGAGGCACTCGGAATGTGTTATGTTACTTAGTGACTCATCGTTATGTAACACAGTTATAGAAATTAGTCAATCGCCAACCCAAAACAGTACTTACAATCAATGCACTTCAAGCCATTAGAAAGAGGTGGAAAAACAGAAGATAGATTGAACTAGCATATTTCTGCTGATGTTTAAGTGCGCCGTCTCCTCTCTGGAAATGAAGAGACGGAAGGTTTCAGCCTTCTTTCAGCGATGAACGCTTGATTTGATTAGGTTTCTTTTGCTGAAGTGGCAAACTTGAGCAATGCCAAGAGACGAATTTGCCAAGAGAATTTCTGGACTGGTACTACTGGACTCTGATGTGTGTGGTTATATTCAACCTGGCATCTTTATTGTGCCTCTATACTGAATGTATTTCACCACATAATCCAAACACTCCTACTGTTTTAAGGTGCTGCTTTTATTTGTTCATCAAAGTAAAACTTTAGTTGGTAATTTGCTTGTATTGAGTATTTTTTCTTTGCAGCCTTGCATCAAGACTTTTTTGTCAAAAGGTCTGCTTGTGAACTGACTGTTTCTCTGGTTTTCAGGCTCTTCAGGAGTCCTCTGCGGAGAAGCTGGATCAGAAGTTGTCTTCTATGCTATTGGACAGCATGCCCACCGGAGGCTTTCAGGGACTGCAGTGTGAAAACACACCTGAAAAAGGTACAGCACTGTAGGATTGCTTACTCAGACCTTTACATTGAAAAACTGCTGAGTAATCACATCCAACTGGTACAACTTTCTTAAAATTTTATTTGGACTTTCAGGGATACATGAGCAAAGATAGTATCTTAAACCATTTGCTGATTTTATAACAAATTCTTTCTAATCTACTTTGCAGTATGACTGAATACACTGCATACCCAAAAACATGGTAGTTATACCGTCCCTACTTGTGTAGACACCACTTGCACTTCACACAGTTACTGCAGATCTGCCCATAAGTAACACGTCATTATTGCATTGTTAACAGGTAGGGTACAAATTATACAGTGACAATCGGAGGGGGGCATTTCATTGATCTGTAGTCTTTCCAGCCCAGTTCCATTGGTTTTGTGCATAGTTGAATCGCTTTGCCTTGTTTCCATGTTGGAGGTTTTTTTTGCTGTAAGTCTTCCATGATGGCTACTTTAGTCAAGACTTCTCTGGACAGTAGACGGGTGCACCAGGGTCCCACTGTTTTCTGCTGACGACACTGCTGGACATCTTCCGATTGCAAAGGGAAGTAAGCATGATGTGCACTTCAACTGCTGCAGTAAGATTCCTTGGCCAATCACTGAGTCTACGGTGCTCAGCGCTGCCTGTTTCTATGTGCTTCTCCAAAACAGCTTGAACAGCACATCTGGAAACCCCTGTCTGCCTTGAAATTTCTGCCTGGGAGAGACCTTGCTAATGCAGTGTAACTACCTTGTGTCTTGTTGCTGTGCTCAGTCTTGCTGTGGTGTATGACTTTTGGAAGTAAACTCTTACAGCAGTCTCACCTTGTTAGCTGTGTGGCTGTTCCTCAGTTCCTCCCAGTTGTATTCCTCCCACACAGCTATTTCTGTTTCAGTTAATGACTTTTTTACATTTGACGTTTTAACCCACATATTAAATTGGTGATCATCAGAACCTGTTTGGTATATTTGATATAATGACAATACGCTAACAAAATCCCAGTCTTTGTTCAAGTATACCTTAGATAATTAGAAGAATTGTGTTCACACCAAATGTTGAATTGATTTAGATTTTTCTTCTGTTCACTCACTTTGCGTGCATTTTTAAAGTTTATAAATATGAACTATTAACATGTCTATTTTTTAAAGCATTTTTACTTTACAGCATTTTTCCACACCTGCCTAAAACCTTTGCACAGTACTATACTTCTCACATGCAGTTTCCACCAAGAAAAGAAAGCCTTCCATTATTTCTTGACTCGTTATGTGGAAGACTGATGTTCATCAGCTACCGAGATTGATCCTTAACTCTGGTTAAAAGGGCACAGGGAAATGTTTCCATGACAAACAGGTCAATAAGTGCCTCCAAGCTGTCTTTCTTCGACTCTCCTGATTGTGTTAGATTGCTCACAGTGCCTCGGTTCAACTCCCAGTTATCTACCTGTAAAGGAAGTAATAAAAGTGGTGTAGTCTTTGCTGACAGGTGCTCATTTTCAGGCATAACTGGCGGCTGTTAATACCTAATCAAAAATGTCAAATATCCTCATCAGAGCTCCACCGTGCAGATGTACCAACACTCCTTCACTTTGCTGCCCAGTATGGATTCAAGAGCATCTCCAGCCTGCTCCTGCAGTGTCCAGGCGCTAAGCGAGCGCTGCACACAGCCAATCGCCATGGACAGACTCCCACTGAGATTGCCAAGAGTCACGGTCATACAGAGCTTCATGTCTTATTGAAGGAAACGCTGGTAACTGCTTCCTTATTAACTATTTGCAACTCTCAACCCTATCCACAGTGTTTCATTTATTTATAATTTTCTGGCATTTGATCATTTTCACCTCACACCGGATGGAATTCATTCTTGCTAGAAAATGTTGTTTCAGCTTTATTGAGCCACCATACAATGAAGACATTTCTCAAAATGCCAATATCTGATCACAGCTTCACATGTACATTGACTTGTGAACCAATTAAAAGACACCCAATGACATTATTTATCTATCTATTACTGACTGAATGTGATGTCACCTAAATGTAATTCCACAGTGTTCAGTTACCCGCTGACATCTGAGGTAAACAATACAATGCGTCTTTGCTTGTGAGAGCTCACAGCCAGGGGATACAGAGCAGCGCTCTCTTACTAACAACAATACAGCTTTAGGACTGGGAGTGAGTGGTGCATTATCAATAATGAACAGAATGGAGAGTTTGTAAAGGTGGAGAGCAGGGAGAGTGACTTGTATGTCAGGCGACCTCACTCCCTTCTAACCAGTGTTTCTTCATCCAGCTCATGGCACAGTTGGTGGATTGATTGATTCATTGGTGAATTTTTGATTTTTGATTCATCAACATGAAAGCAGCATTTTAACGTATATGAAAGTCAACAATATGCTCATTTTAACTACTTTATTTTCTGTTGAGCAGTTTCATCTTTAGAAATTACACATATGTGGGCTAATCATATATTTTGTATATTTTGCTAAGTAACTAGTAAATAGTTAAAGGTACCTTTGAAATGTAGTGAAATATAAATTATCATATAATGGAAATATTCAGCTACAAGTATCTCAAAATTGCACACACTATGTAAATATCCGCCCTGCGATAGACTACAGGAAAACACCGCAGCTAACGAGATGGAGTTCACTAACACCAAAAAACAACCGGCACCCAGCACAACACAGACTCCAACATACACTAAACATAAGGATAAAAACCAACAATAAAGTTTTATGTGCTGGAGCCTGTCAGGCCAAATGAGAATCAAAACGAGATTGAGTAAAAACATTAAACATCAGAAAGGCTTGAATCAAGGAGAGACGTCCGCTTTGCTTTGGAACCGACAAAACAGACACATAGTTGGCTTTTAACACTAAACTAACGTCCAAACACATGAAATATACGGTGCTCCTAATTCCTTGGTTCCTTCCTTTCTTCTGTCCTTCCATCCTTGATTCCTTTCTTGATTCCTTGAGACCTTCCTTGAGTCCTTCCTTCCTTGATTACTTGATTGCTAGCTTGATTGCTTCCTTCCTTCCTTCCTTGATTACTTGATTGCTTGCTTGATTGCTTCCATCCTTCAGTCTTTCCTTGATTCATTCCTTGATTACTTCCTTTCTTGATTCCTTGAGGCCTTCATTGATTCCCTGAGTCCTTCCTTCCTTCCTTCCTTCCTTGCTTGATTCCTTTTTTGATTCCTTACTTACTTACTTCAAGCCTTCCTTGAATCTTTCAGCCCGTCATTCTTTGATTCCTTCATTACTCCCTCGATTCCTACCTGGAGTCTTTTCTTAATTCCTTCCTTCATTCCTTCCTTCATTACTTCATTCCTTTCTTGATTCCTTGAGTCGTTCCTTGATTCCTTCTTTCCTTGATTCCTTGATTCCTTGATTACTCCTTCTTTCCGTCCTTCCTTGATTGCTTTCTTGATTCCTTGATTCCCTTCTTCTTTCATTCATGCTTTCCTTCCATAATTCCTTGGTTCCTTCCTTTCTTCTGTCCTTCCTTCCTTGATCCTTGATTTCTTGATTCCTTCCTTCCTTGATTCCTTCCTTGATTCCTTCCTTGATTCCTTGATTCCTACCTTCCTTCCTTGATTCCTTAATTTCTTTCTTGATTCCTTCCTTCCTTCCTTGATTCCTTGATTCCTTGATTCCTTCATTCCTTCCTTGATTCCTTGATTCCTTTCTTGGTCCCTTCCTTGATTCCTTTCTTGAATCCTTGAGTCCTTCCTTGACTCCTTCCTTCCTTGATTCCTTGATTCCTTCCTTGATTCTTTCATTCCGTGGCGCAAAATTTTACACAAGACCAGTACAGTGAAGTGGCTTTACAGTGTGTCCTTGACCCCTTCCTTGTATCCTTCCTTTCTTTATTCCTTGATGTCTTCCTTCATTCCTCCCTTCCTTCCATGATTCCTTCCATGATTCCTTCCTTCCTTCAATCCTTCCTTGATGTTGCTCATCCATTCATATGAAAATCGCTGACATATCTCCCGTCCTCCAATAATACTGGGAACTTTCTCTGATGTCTCGGATCAATCTATGGAGAATTCCCCCTCGACGGAAATTTAGACACTCCAACAGCTGTTGCAAATGTATTTATCCCCCTAGCAACACTGCTAATTGAGAGTGAATGCAGATGGAGCAAGGTTTGATCAGATTGCTGTAGTGACTTAAAGTGCTCGTTCTGAGCCTACAGTGAGACGGAAGAGGTCTCCCCGCAGGGTCTTACAGACAGAGATGGACAAAATACATCAAAATGTATTTAAAATAAGATACCAAATATCCTAATTTAAATGTACCAAAATAAACTAAAAAATACAACAGCCATACCATGTATCAAAAAAACCTACTGTATTTTTATATTTCAAAAATATTAAAATATCCTTCAAGGTACCATGAAATCACTTCACCTGTATACTGACACAGCTGATTATGTAACAACAAATTACTTATGTCCCTAATGAGTCATGCAATTAATCTTACCAGTTTACAATCAGATGTTTACATATCCATGTGATCACCCAGATTAGTTTTAAAGTAACCAACAGTTTAATGTTTAACAGTTTGCTCAACGAAAAACTTTATTATTTTATTGTGCACAAAACTTAACATATGCTGAGCAAGCTAACTGTGAGGTCAAATAGTTAGCTAGAACATTATATAAATTGGTAAACGAACACCAAAACTTAACAGGAACTTTAAGAATTATAACAATTTAGGTGCACCAGTTAGTTAGTTACCACTCCTGCGCGCCCCATGTGCAAAGGCCAGGGTTCGAGTCTGACCTGTGGCCGTTTGTTTCTCCCACATTTTCTGTCTCTCTTAGCCGTCCTGTTATTAAATAAAATTCAAAACAGCCCCCCCAAAACTTTTTTTTTAAAGAATTGTAGTGATTTACTATTTACTAGAAATGGATGGAAAGCTGGAAACATATATGTCTCTCTTATCTTGAACTTGTTCTTCAGGTCTGGATCAATTTTCTGTTCCGATCTCAGTCTGGGCAGATTACTGAGGAAGCACCAATCAGAGGCAGCATTTTTATGATGTAATCACGTAGACTTCTCACAAACTACAAAATACAAAACACTTACTATTTCAGTATTATTTTAGTACACTTAGTATTTTGATTAAAAAAATATGAAGCCATTTTTCTCATAAAAACAAATACAAATAACAAAATCCTATTTTGTATTTGAAATACGTATTTTTAATCCATGTATCATAAATTCTGCCCATCCCTGCCCATGATGTAAGATTCGACAAGCACAATCAACTGACATTTCTTTGGGTTTGTTTTTTTTTTAGGGTAATTCAAATTCATCTTGACATTGTGGGGTGGGGTTTTGTTCTTGGTCCCTTTTTTTTGCATGGCAGTTTCAATAACTCATCTGCAGTGTTTCCCCCACCTCTAATTAATCAACCCATGATGCATCAGTGATTTGGGCGTCAGTGTAGCGGCACTCTGTCAATAAATCCGAGATGGATTGGTCCCCAGCTTCCTACAGAGCCAGAATCACTCACAGGGCCTGCGTCAGATCCACTAGTCTGCCCTGGCACCACACTTCTTTGTTAATTAGCTGTGAACTGCTCCAGAGGGGAAAGCTAAATTATTCAGGGAGAGCATAACTAGAATACAAATATAGAAAATGCTCTGCAGTTATCTACGATGTTTATGTCCTCAGACTGAAATATTGTGCCTGCTCATTGTAATTACTATCACAAACAGGCATTGTCCTTATTTAATATTTCAATACTGGATCACAAATCTGTCACTTGGCATTTAGATGGACTCTGTGAGCTCCTACCAAGATTTCACTGTGTTCTCTCAGATATAGAGCAGAGCTTGGTCCTCCAAAGACTACAAAGAGCTATTTACGTCCTGCAGGTTGTGTTTGTGTACAGTACATTCCTATTCAAATGCAGGTGAACCAAAATAGGTGACACTGTAGTCCAGGGATTTGTTGATTCCACTTTGCATGTTATGTTTGTTTGGTCAGTAACTGCACAATCATTAGAGATTTATTTGAATGATATAGTCAATCTCATTCTGAAAAAGAAAACATACAACCTTTATCCCTCAGGTTAAGTGTTCCATCTTTATAGCACTGCTGAAACATTTTACATTTTACCAGCCACTTAATCTGGGAATGGCAATGTAGGACCAACACTTTGGTCCAGCCTGAAATATCTCAACGACTATTGCATGGATTGCCATTAAAACTTGGTACAGATATTCAGGGTCTCCAGAAGATGAAGCCTACTGACTGACCTCTCAAATAGCACCAACAGCTGGACTAAGTTTTTGCTTATCCTGTAAAATATGTCAACGTCTAGTTGAGAGAATGTCAGAATGTTTTTTTTAATAAACTACTGACATTCATGGTTCCTAAAGGATGAATCCCACTGATTTTCCTCTAGTGCCACCATGACATTGACATGTGTGGTTCAGCTATAGGCCTACTTTGTGTCCAGTGCTAATTAGCAAATGTTAGCATGCTAACATGCAATTCAGCATACTATACTGTACAATTCAGCATACTATACTGTAATACTATATAGCATTATACCTACTAAACATCACCACGTTAGCGTTGCCATTGTGAGCACACTGACACTAGCATTAGCTTTCAGCATCACTGTGTTTAAGCCTCACAGAGCTGCTAGCATAGCTGTAGCTTCTTAGTCTTGTTACAATAGCCTACTAAATATATGTTTGCTTTTGTGTTAAACTAAAACTATGAAGATAACACTGAACATGGGGTAAATATAGTTTTACACAAGTGGTGTGAAGTGCTGAGCTGACCACTTCTTATTTTCTCATGCCAAAAAACAAGTTGGACAGATTTTGTCTGCAAGGCACTTAAGTAATGGGTTCAGTGTTACACTCTGCAATCTGCCATGCATCAAACACTCTTATCCTGAAACCAGTATGCCGAAAGACAGCCAGCATGCTGGCACTGAGAGCCAAGACTAGTAGCCAGCCTGTGAATTGACCATTTTAGCTGCTGAAAACAGAGTTACACTCCTTATCCTATACTAGATCCACTTGAGATTGGTTCTCCCTCTAACAAAATCATGCCCGCTGTTTTGTCTGAAGCACTGCTGCTTGGATTGCGGTGGTGAAACTGAATTTGTCTGGAATGCCTGGGGCTCTTGCAATTTCAGACATCTGTAAAATGATTTAGCATTTGTGGTTAGTAAATAAATACCCCTCCCCTGTCCAGAAATTACCTCTGAAAATACCACACTGTGCTTAAGCACTGTAACTATTATAATTCGATGTTACAGCTGCAGTGGTAATTAACCCGTCCTTTCTACCTGTTGGGCCTGTTATGAACCTCTGCTGTTAAGTAATGCATTCATGGCAGCCAATAAGTAATTTGCAGGCCTGGGAACAGTGTAATATTGTAATTGAGTCATGAGTGGCTGTGTTGCTTGGAAACTGCACACAGAGCATGGCGGGTTATATGGAGGATATCTTCTTCAAAGTGAGCTGTATCTCATATATTCTGCAAAGATTCATGTTACTGACTGGGATTGTTGTTATTAAAAGTAGAATATATCATTTTAAATTGACAGAGGAATCAAATGTAATCCTAAAGCAATATAATATGTATTATGATATGAGTCCTGTGTTGCCATAATCTTTGTTATTTGTGTTTGTGATTGGATGCAAAATCTACAATGCAGCTCAGCAGCTGTTTTCATAGATAGAAAAAATACAGTTTATTCAATTTAAAATACATTGTGGTTAGTGTAAATCTGAGAAAATCTCTTTCTGGTTTCTCTGTCAAAATAAATGCTCTAAGAAAGCTTTTCAATAGAAGTCATTTCTCTCGCAACTCTTCAGTTCCTGACATCTCTATCAGAAGTTGAAATATGACAGTAAATTAATATCTGTATCGCTTTCTAATTGCGGATGCAGTCTAAATATCAAGCCATGGGTCTTGAATTGCTCACTAAATGATCTGTTTGGACTGAAAGGGGAAGATTGTCTGATTTCATAATTACCCTGATCATACCCCTGTCTGTCCCTCAGTATGCTATTAGCAAATAGGCCGACTCCGCGGCAGCTTTGCTGTCAGAGGGAAAACGGCTTTCTGTTAGCCAGCAGGCAGGGTTACAGCACACCTCTCTAATTCCTGTTACAGCCCTGAAATTGCTTACAGATGCAGTGAGAAACCTCAATTAATGATCTGGACGTTTGTCACATCTGACATGAAAACACTGAATATTAAAGCATGGCATGGAGGCGGATATCAGCCTACAGTGTGACAGAGCTTAGAAAGTGGTTGGTGGATAGTTACCTTAGCTGTTATGTTTAATTTTTGTGCCTTTGAAGTAGGATACAGGTGAGAAAATGAGCAGGAAACAGGAAAGATGTTCGTGAGCCAGCCAAGGAGAGACTGCATTGTATCAAGATTTGTTAAAAATACAGGAATACTGAGACAAAAAAAATCCACTCTTATATAGCAAACGCCTGGCTTCAACTTTAGAGATTAGACATTTCTTTTCTTGAATTCTAATTTGCCTCTATTGAGCTGTTTCTTTGTGATTTGGATGAGGCATAAAACGCATGTCTTCATGCTCTGTTGTTGCAGAATATGTTCAACTCAGGCGAGGACAATGGTGATGCCAGTGTGTACGAAATGATGTGCACCGCAGGTGAGTGAAGGACTGATGGGAAGTGGAAGGAGGACAAAGGAAAGCCGGTAATGGAATTGTTTTTTTTTTCCCCAGCACATCATTATGCTGGGTTGCTGTTCATTTCCGACCACTGAATATTTTCCTCTCGCTGATGGGCACACCATGTAGGGTTGCTTCCGATTAGCTATGAAATGACAGTAGCAAAAACAGCATGCAGAACTTCATCATGACACTCAAGCAATAGTGCATTAAACACTTTGTGCATTAGGGACTCCTTCCACCACAGATGTACAGAAGGAGCAACAGGGAGAGGAGGAGGAGGAGGAGGAGGAGGAGGAGGAAGATATCTATGCACCACTGGGGGTTAATGATGAATATGACACCATCCTGAACTCAACCAAAGCAGTGGTTATTGCCAATCGCCCACCAGCACCCACACCTCGGCCTGAGAGCACCCAGGTGAAGGAGGACAGAACCCCTTACATTGCTCAAGGTAACTGACTTCCCTCCTTTTTCTTCAAAATCCTAGATCTGATGGAGCTGATTTGGAGTAAAAACAACACTGAATTATGCACAGTATGTGACGGGGAGTTTGGGAGACCATGTGGGAGGGAGGAAGTGCCCGGTATGTGCATTGACATTGTCAGCCGAGTGCTGCTGAATAGAGCGGAGAGGCTTTTTTTTTTTTTGCGATGCTGTTTGTTTTGATACCATAAAACCACAAGAACACGGTCGCTCCCCGCTGCAAAACAAACAAAAGCGAAGCAAAAGAAAGACTAATTCGCCTGCATCGAGAGCCCACAGTGCCTAACTGTTCAATTTCAGCAGCGTAAATATTTCATGAAGATGAAACATCCAAAAGTGACTGGTATTATTAAGGCTTATAAATCATTAAAACGGCTGCAACTTCCCTTTCTCATCTTGCAAATGCACACATGCATCCACAGTTAATTGACATTGCTACAACTTGTGCACTCAAAATACACAAAAATTATTATAACTGTGCAGCAGGCCCCCCTCTCCCCATTATGCAGCTTTTTTATTGAGCTTGCTTGTATCCAGTAAGCCAACTCTCTGCCCAATGGGACTTACAAAAGCAAAAAAGAAATTGAGTGCACCACTGAACTCTCTGCATCCCAACCATCCCCTCAGTAACAGAGAGGGAACTACTAGGCTGCCATCTGCAACCAATCTCGGCCAGACCAAGGCCAAGTCAGCCAGAATAAGTCATTACACATGTTTTCCATCGTCCTTGTCCCCAGAGCGCACGAGAGAAAGGAGAGGGATTTTGAGGTTTCCATCTATTGAGACAGTGGAGCTTCAAACCTCACAAGGATCACATTTTGCTCCTCACTCCCGCTGCCGCAGTGAAAGATGTGAGAGGAGAGATGAGGCTTGGTTGAGGACTAGGCGAGGAGCCAGTTATTGGAGACCAATGCACAAGTGGAAATAATGACGAGTATTTCTTTTGTTAGCAGCAATGTCCCGAGCTCAATGAGACTGAAATGCTGAAATGTTAATGAAATTCAATCCTACAGGGTGGAATTACTGGGCATGTAAAGTACACGGAGGGCAACGCACGCACTCTGAAGTAAGGCAAAGTAATAGCTGCGGTCATGTGACAGATCCTCAGCGGTGCTCCACTCACAATTTCATTCTGAATGAAGCCATAAAGCCAGGCTTGTGTTATCAGCAAGACAGAAAAGAGAGGCTGTGTTTGAACGTGGAGTGGAAAAGAGAAACGCTGTCATGGAGGAAGTAGTCAGAGGTGGGATTATCTTTCAGGGTGTGGATGTTGAATTCTAATCCAGTGTTGGTCACACAGCTACACCGCCTTCTGACAGCTAAACAGTGTAGCCTTTCACTCTGAGTGCTCACTAACCAAACCTAAAGCATCATTCAGGGCGTCTAAAACTGACACCAGAACTGAATGTGTGTGTCTTTCTCTGAGAGAATTTGAGCTGTAGAATAACAAATCAGGATAACACTTATTTCACAGATATTTGGATTATGTTAGCATTCTTCTGAAACAGTAATAGGATGTCTTTTTTCCTGCTGGCTATTCCCATTCAGATTTCCACAGTCAGTAGTTGTTTGTGAGTTTAGGGTATGGCTCCATCTTGTGGAATAATTGTTAAAATGTAGAAGCACAAAAAACATTATACAGTGCATTGTTTACTGAATATATGGTATGGTCTATAATGTATAATGTTATTTTAAGCTGCTCTGTGCTTACAGTGTTCCAGAAGAAGAAGACACCAAAGGGCGACGCTGATCTGTATTCACTTCCCACTAAACAAGGTGAATGTCAGGTGATACGTGACTCACCAGAAAAGGGGTCATCAATTAATTTCACACTTAAAGTGTAACTACAGCATTTTAGTAATGCACTTTGAAAGAGATGGAGGACTCACAAGGGACAGATTACAAGAAGAATGGTTGTTCTATGAAAGCAGCAGAGACAGACATGTCCTGACTCTTAATCCCTAAAATGAGTATAGCTTCAAAAACACTCGATAGCATATTTTTGTTTTAACTTCCCTGCCTTGTAACCACTCATGTCTTTCAAACTCCACAACCCCAGTATGGAGCACGCCTTCTGTTCTAAATGTGTAGTCCCTGAAAGTCCGATCAAACCTGACATTTTGATTCCAATAAGATCCAAGTGGAATTTAAAGCACTGTCCATTTTAATAAATTGTGATGTGATATATTAGATAGGGTACAGTAGAGAAGCAGACAGGAAGCAGAGCAGGGTATCAAAGTGGGAACATTGTGGTAAAATGGCACGTGTCTTAACCACTAGGCCACAGGGATAGGACTGTTTTCTCAGACTTGAGAGTTTTCATCTGTATATCAATGCACAGAAGCTTTAATCATCACTCTGTGCGCTGTTGGGGCATCTGGCTTTATCATGCATGCGTAAAAAGACAGTTGCAGTCATTGGTTTTGGAGCAAAAATACAGTAGGCAGTTGCCATTTATTTGTTCTTGCATGGGCTCCAAAGTGAGTCTTTATTTCCCCTTTCTGGGCAAGATTAGTATTAATCACTTTGAGATCCGCTGATTGTAGTTTTTTCACTCATAACAGCAGGACCTGTACCGTGCCAATGACTTCTCTCTTATGATTACCTGTTGAAATTACCTGCTGGGTGGTAAGGCCATTCTTAGATAATTTGTGGTGTTTTGTTAAATTAATTCAAATTGGAGTGATTGCTACAGGGGAATTAGTCATTGCAGCAGTAATGGGCACACCAACAGTGGGGGAAAAAAGCAATGAAAAGAGCAGGTAGCACATTTAGACACATTTGGGTGCCAAGAAGATTAGACCAAATTAAAGTGTGAAAGAGAGAAAGTGTGAACATTGAGCAGAGATACGACGCCAGTTTTCTGCTTTGCAGTACTTTTGGTGACAGACCCAGACAATGACCGTCCTCATGACTCTCTGACATTACAGATGTGCTGGGCAAAATCACATGGCCAACCAATCCCCTCTATGAATGCCATCTGAAGTTGTTCCCTTATATCTATTCTTCAAAACAGGAAAGAGCTATTTAATGTATGCAAATATAATTCAGCTAGTTAATTTGTACTCACGTGTGGTGATTATTTAGAGTTTTTTTGTCAGATTGTTGGCCCCAGATTACCAAACAGTTTATATTGAGTTGTTGTCCATTGCAGCACGCGGGCGAGGAGACAGCATCTCTTCCACCTATGATGCCTTTGTGCCAAACAAGATACACGGGCTTCAGCAGCTCATTGAGCTCCAGCAGAGGGTGAAGGCAGGTTCACTCACTGTGGACGGGGCCCTGGAGCGCTTCAGTGACTGGCAGCAGGTTCAGAAGGGCATGGATGCCGTCCAGCAGGTGAAGGAGCATGCAGGACCAAACCCTAATAAAAATAGACCCATCTGTTGCGCATGCCATGCCAACCTGCAAAACAATCCACCCACAATAGAGCATGAAGGTACAAGAAACTGTCAACCCTAGAGTAAAGAAAGTGGCTATTTATGAAAAGCCCCGCAGAGAGGACATAAAGCCATGAAGGGCCACTTACAACTGCTTGTTTTGCACACTTTACTTTCACAGTACAAGAAGGGGTAAATGGGATTGCAGGTGTGGCACTGTATCGAGCACCTGTTTAACAGCCAAAAGAACCTGATCAGCAATTGGTCAGTTTATGTTGTTTCCTTTGTCAGCCATTGACTCAAGTGTTGATTTCACTACCTTTACTGATTGGGTGTGAATGCTGCAAGTGATACTGTTATTGACTGATGGAAGTTTAGGATTAATTAGAACCCAGCTCAGAGCACATTCATTTTTGTTTCTGAGTGGGTATAAAAGTAAAAATAAATGTATTGCAGATTTCTTTAAAGAGTCAGAAGCACAAATATTAACACTGGCATTAACATAGTTACTTTTTAACATACTTTACAAGTTAAAGTTACAAATAAATGTCAGCTGTGAAAAATCTGGTTAGAGGACACGCCGGCAACGCAGTTAAAAGATTTCATTGGCCATTGTTTAAAAACAACATAAAACTGAAAAGGGGCCAGTGTATATATATATATATATATACCAAGTAGCTAATCGGGGGAATGAGGGACAGGTGTGCAGGCAGGTGATGATCAGGTGGGTGGGGATTGGTGGGGATTGGTGGGGGGGAGCAGAGGACACCTACTGGGTGAGGAGGGAATGGCAGGAGTTGTTAGAAAAAGGACTCCAAACTTTGTTTTGTTATACAACCTTGTGCCGTAAGGAGAAATTAACAACCGTGTACCTTGTAACAGACAGGTCTGGCAAAGGAAAAAGGTACAATAATAAACTAAAACAGTGTTGTGGGCTACATGAACTTACACTAAGGTCCACTGAGCTGCCAGCTTTTTCATGGAACACATTCTGAAACATCGCAGTTGAAAAAAACAGGCGTGAATAACAAAATGAGCGACGGCTTCATTCCATTTAGCTGCTTCTTTGTAAACGTTATCAATAACACCTGTGCTTAGTCGAACTTTCAGCTGTGTGTGTATGTGTGTGTGTGTGTGTGTGTGTGTGTGTAAGGAGAGTTTTGAAGTTTGTGAAACAACAATATGTGCTTATGTAGAAGGACCAGTCTAATATCTATGAAACAATAACAATAACAACTATTGTCATGGTCACAATAACCACAAAATAAAGGTTAGACCAGCAGTGGAAGAAGTGTTCATGTCCTTTACTTGAGTTACTTACCAATGATAATAAATACTCCATCACATGTTAACATTTCACATTCATAATCCTATTTCAGTAAAGCTAAAGAATTATTATTACTCAAAATGTATATGAAGTATCAAAAGTAAGTAAATGTATGTCAAAAAAAATCCAGCACTCAGTTACTTTTCACCTCTAAATGAAACCCTACATATGTTGGTTTACTGACTAAAAGTAACAGTGCAACTACATTCACTCTTTCATACTCCTGTTGCATATTTAGACATTCATTTGTCCATAAAGCAGACCTCGATGACGGTCTCAAGATTTATGACCAAACTGCAAAACTCCGATTCCTCATCACAGTTTTTGGAAACGTAATAGGAAATCTCAAAATCCATAAATAAATGTATACAAATAAAATACATTCCTTTATGTCGGGCTCATATTAAAGCACTGATCTTTGTGTCTGCAGGAGAATTTGAGACAACTGAGAGCTACTGTCATCAACAACAGAGAGGATGATGAAAGTGTCTATGGTAAATATTCCTCCACTCAGGCTATGCGGGTTAAGCTTTGCTGTCATCACAGAGAGGCTCCAGAGGCTCAGCTTTCCTGGAACTTTAACGTAAAAATAAATAACATGCAGCACAGTTTAAGTTACACTGGAACAAGTAGCCACCTTACAAATGACTGTATTTAACGGTGTGTACTGTAAATGGCTTAGAAGCTCTTCTCTCCCCGCAGATAAAATCAACATCATTCATCACGCGCCAAGTGAGTCTTTAAAACCTACCACAGTGTGTACAGAAAAAAAAACCCTGTTTGCATGTCTTTGTAGTTTCTCCAGTCCCAGTTGCAGTGGTGGGGAATTAATCCTCTGGGAAGTGTTATTTAATCAAATCCCCAGCGCCATGTTTTGATCTAGTGAGTTTCACTCGCACTAAATGGGAGTCTTTTATTTTGTTTTTCTGAACAACTCTGTGCATATTGGATAATTTCCCTCCAGGTGTTGCAGTGAATGAAAGTCGAAGAGGAAGCCAAGCAGTGGAATCAGATTTTTACAGCAAGCCACTTAAAGGACAGCACGTAAGTTTACTTTACTTGCCAAAGCTTGGCAGAAGTTGGCAAATATGTGTCAATATAAAGTTTACATGATAGGCCTACTGTATATTATTGGAGTTGAAATAGACATGAAGTTAGACTAAACAAACATAAAGTCCAAACTAACCAGTGACAAGTATCCCTCTGAATTGTTTTTCAGTCAAATTTCTTTTCAAAAGCCAACAAACGGTGAGAGTCTGAGAAAGAAAAGAAAACAACTGGTGAATATGAATCCAGTTTTATTTTAATCATTTCTGATGAAATAATAATTAATTTTTAGCTCATCAAGCTCATCAATTGTGTCACATTTTTCCATATTTACAGCCTCCACCGCTCATCAGAGACTTGAATCTTCCACCTGTTTTATCTAGTTTAATCTGCTTAAATACATACTATGTCATTTTAATTGTATTATTTTGCATTTTTTGCATATTTTGTATTTCAAAGTAAGATTTTTGATATATTTCCAGTTGCTTATTCAGCTCTTTTTGACTCTTTTAAAATATTATGGAAGTAAATTCTTGTTTTAAGGAAAAAGTATCACATATCTAACGTACGAAGTGGGTAACTTTAACAGCAAACTTACATTTTCAGTATCATTTTGATCTTAATTTAACTAAATGTCTTAACTACCTTGTTAGTTCTAAAAATGAAACTACTGAAATAAAGATGAGTTTTTATACATTGAATTCAATGTGACTGTACTGGCAATCATTTAGCAACTAAATTTCATGGGTCTGTGCTCCAGGGAAGAGGAATCAATTTCCCAGCAAGTCTTGGCTGTAAAACCCTTAATGCCTTTGCCTCCAGATGGCGCTGTATCTCTAAAAATATCCATTACACTCACTGAAGCAAAGACATCTGGCAAGCACAGAAGCACCTGCTGACCTCATGATGCCTGGAAGGCAAGCTAGGGAAAAAAATGCATGCATACATGTTTATGAATGTAAACGCAGACTCATGCAGCAGGTGAGAACATCAATGACGTGCCTCTCGCTGCACCTGGTTGCAAACATGAAACGTGTTCAATCTTGGTTTGCGTCAGCCTAAACATGTCAAAATGAATCTACAAATGAAGCGTAATTGGAGTAAAATGAAAATTGTAAAACTGTTACAGCTCAGCTCACTGGAATGAATGGAAACGTCCAGTGAGGGGTGCTGGAACAGCAAGTGACGGTAAAATCTAAGGTCAAAGGCTCAATTTTCCTGGGAAACTCACTCTGTTCCGCTACCATAGTGCAGGCATCTGTGTGTGGAAAACAGCTTTACAATAAATTAATATATAAAGCCTAAAGAGGCCTTTTTAAAAGCCACCCACTGAATTTCTGAATAATAAACATTTGCTGTACATACTTGTCAAAAATCTGAATTTGCTGTGTTTTTTTATGAATTTACAAAACTATTCAGGAATTGACACAAATGCACACACATTCTCTCTCTCTCTCTCTCTCTCTCTCTCTCTCACACACACACACACATACAGATACCAGTTTGTTGGTACAGCCCAGCCTGTGCCTGAATGAATGAATAAGAGCTGCATGGGGAATTCAGTGAATGCATGGCTAAATCCAAGCTCAGTCTTGAAACCCAGGCAGAGGCTGAGCTGTGTGCCAACAAAGCAGCTGGGTACACGCCGGGCACATTTTTCTGTTCAATCATGCTCTTTGTGAATAATATGTATTAATGCCGTCCCTACTTAGACCTGCCAGTTAGCCTTTGGAGATGATCCGGCTTCGGGACCCCATGGCATTTGAGGCATATGTTTGCCTGTCACCTGCTGAGTATATTTCAGTCCGTGTGTCAGCCATGGCCACCGAGATAGGCCTCAATTCATCGTGTATGCAAATATCTGATCGGCCGCCACAACGAATGAGTCCCCAGTCGCAGAGAAGCAAGCAGATAGAGTGAACTTCAGTGGCATGCGTCGCCCACACCTAAACATGTTTCTATATGTGGGCCAAGCTAAACCAAAAACAAGGGATCAAAGAGATTCAATCAAGGTTCACTGTTCTTCAAAACCCCATACTAGGAGAAGATTATGATATAATTTGGTTGTCTATATTCAGCAGTGAAAAGTAACAGTGCATTTGTTTAAGTACTGTATTTAAGTACTGTATTTGTTGCATTTTGTGATACTTTATTATAAATGAATTTTTCTATTCCACATTTATATTTTGAGCATTTTACAAAGAATACATTTTAAAGGGTTCTTGTAATAGGTGATGTAAAAGGTCTAGTTTATTTGAAACTTATGCATAATGTGAAGTTCTGAATGCTGGACTTACTTAATTTTGGTGTGTGCCGTTTTGGTATTGCAACTAAGTAAAAGACTTTCCATTGTCTCAGTATATGAACCTGTATGGATGACACAGCTTAGTGCGGATTAAAGCAACTTTTGATTTTTAACATTGCTTAGAACAAATCTTTAAAGCAGTGTTTATTTACTTTTTGGCTACTTGGAGGCAATGGAACAAGATGTAAATTAAATATTGACACCTTACAATGTTGATATGGCAAATGGGAAGTTGCCGATTTACCCATACAATAATAACACCGCAAAATTAGCATTCATTTGGAGCAGTGTTTCTGTTCACCACTCTCCTTTAACTCAGTTTTTTGGTCTCCGCTAACTCCTCTCGTCAGCTGCTAAATGCTACTATATGTTTAGCTGGTCGCTTCCTTTGTTGTCTGCCGTTGATGCTGAGCAGGGAGTGCACAGTGTGTTTATCAGTGCTTTTTTTTTGCTGAAAGCAGCTGCCTGCTCCATCTGTAAAGGAGGTTGATGAAAGCGGTGACATTGAACCAAAGCAGTAAAGTTGCAGGCTAAAATAGCTAAAAAATTAGCTTAGAAAGATGCTAAAAGGCTCAGGAGAGCTGAGGATAACTGCAGAGTTGGGACTTAATTGTCTGTGGGTTTGTCACGGCCCCTTTCACACTAGACACAGTCATTTGACCTTTTGTAAATATAAGAAATTTCATTAGCAGCTTTAAAGTTTCCCCTCAGTGCTAATGAAGACAGTTTTAAAAATTCACTATTGAAAAATCTGTAAATATCTTGAGCCGACTTCCCAGTTGGATTTCCTCATCCTCTCTATTCCAGCAGCAGGCTTGGTCAGATAGTGGGAAGACAGGATTATACGGTCAACGCATCAATAATATTGTTATGACACAGCTCTTAACTGGTGATGGCCTCTACCAATTGAAACACGAAAAGCCAAGCTGTCGCCTCAGTCATCTGCTGAATCCCTCCTGCATCCCAGAGACACCGCTGGTTCCACACGCCTGCAAAAAACACTCATAAGGGTACAAACACTGGGATAACTTATCAGGGATTACTAGTCTACTGAAGGAGCATGCATAAACACAACCATTCAGCGCACTGCCATTATGCACCTTGGCGTGCATGCAACACACACAGGAAGGCAAAAACACACATACACACCTCCCCTCCTTGCTCGGTCCTCTCTCCGGCCCCAGGATTAGGGCAGAGGATTGTGCACAGCTGCTCCCCAACATCCCCGATAAAAATCAGGCAATTTCACAGTCAGTGGCATTCTTTCATCCCCTAATCCACACCCCGCATACAGTATAGATGAACCTCACTGCGATGAGAACAGGCTGTTCTCAGCTGACCCCCCCTGAGTCAATGTGGACACCTTCAATTGGCTATAGAGACACGGAGTGGTCAAACTGTAGGGTGCAGGAGCTGCAAGATGGAAGTGTCCGGTACAATGCTGTATATTGACCTTCACTTCCTTTTTATCCACTAATTAGATGATTTTATGTCGACCAATGGCCACCAGTCTTGCAAGCAAGGATTACAGCTGATAAAACAAAAAAATATTGTGATTTAGTGGATGGTGGGGTCTGAGATTCATCTAATATGTTGGACTTTCAAAATGTCAGTCAAATATAAAGTAAAGCAAGACCAATGGTTCTGGATTTATATAATTGTAAACTTTAAGAATGAGCTGAATTCACATTTTCACCTATATAAACAGCCCACTCCTAGTAACAGCCTTGACACCAGTAGACACTGTTTATAGAGACTTTATTTTATGCATTTCCTTAGTCATTGCATGCTGTTATTCTTCATAGCTTTCCCCCTTCTCAAGTCATTCACTTAACCCATTTTGTCTGACCCCAACCTCCATTTGCAGTACGATTCTTTACCAAAGTTCAAACAGGGGACAAAAAGGTACCTCACAGCGATCAGTAATGGGGGGGGGGGGTATGAATCAAAAGGCAAGGAAATGGAGTTCACTGTACAAACGTCGGGGGAATTTCAATGTCCGCTGATGCACAGAGGAGCTCTGTTTGGTCCTAGCAGGCTGTGGGGTGAAAAGAGCAGCAGCCACAGCAGGGTACATCTATTCTGACAAGTTCTTACAAACACTGAAAAGCACGAGCAAGGTCTATTTGTTTAAGAGGCAATAGACCCAGCGGAAGGATGCTGAAGCTTTAACAAGATAACAGGATAATTTTATGGTTCTGCTTTTGGACGACGTGAAGGTAATCAAGTAAAATGGAATGTTTCCCAGCAGTTGAAACTTGATTTTTTTTTTAAAACTTGCGGGAAGAAACACATTAGACACTGACTTATTTTAAGACTGTGTAACTATAACAAACTTCACTGGAAATAAAGTTAATCTGACTAGACTAGATGTGAATGAGGACAAAAGTATTCTGGAGAGATAGAAGCAAACCTCTGGTCACATCCTGAGTAAAATATTAAAACACATTTATCTCTTGATAAACTACTTGAAAGCACAGTGTTGCAGTCTTTTCCTCTCTTTTAATTTTGACTTACGAAGAAAGTGAAATTTCTCTCAGCACCTCGCCCATATTTCCTTTTTACATCCACTTGCTTTGAAATAGTTAATGGATGTAGATAACATTAACAATGTGCTTCTTTTTCGATCTAAGAGGTGAAATTCTGTTTTCCCTTAACCCTACACCACAAAGGTCAAAGGTCAGTGTCAGTTTCACAACTGCTCCCTTGGGACTGGTAGGAAACAGAACTTACATTACTATTGTGCTACTGATTATGAAACAAGGATGTGATGAACTTCAACTATATTTTAAAATAATACTTTTGAACCATGCAAAATCTCTTTATAAATATAAGAAATTAATAAGCAAAATTAGAATAAAAACTCATTCAGTCACTCATGTTGTTGGACATTATGTTGTTTGTTTCTCAATACTTCAACTTCCACTAACCTGTCTGTGGCTCTCAGCCCCAAGCCCACCAGTTCCTAATATTTAATTCTTCAGGCTCACAATTTTATAGTTTCATTTTTCACCTCTGTGAATTTCTAAATCAGCTGCGCACTGTAGTTTTTTGCCAACTTTACTCAAACAGGATTAAAATGCATTTGCTGGGGACTATTTTCCACAGCAGATTAATACACATTTGGTGTGTTTATGAGAATTAACAGCAGTAGGACAGTGTATGTAGGATCAAACTCAAATAAACCATCTTCATTACTGACGAAACATGTCACCCAGTGCAACAGTGTGTCTCATTAATGTGTTTTTAACAGTATTTGGACAACAATGTAGACATGTAGGCTTAGTTTCAACATTGGTAGGGACAAATTTCTTAAACTATATTTTTAAGATGACGAATTACACCTAATAGTACAGCTGCTGCCCAATAGGCCTTCGGGTTGTTTATTTGATTACAGTACTCCTGTGTGTACATGCTTCAATATTTACTCAGAACATAAACAAACAAATTATGTACGCCCACAATGTATTATGTTGTGCTGTCAGGTATTATCACTTCATGTATCAAGAGATCAAACTGGCAGTGAAAATACATCTCCACATGAGCATCTGAACAACAAAGACAACAGTCAAGGCGAAAGTGGTGCCACAGGTGTCGCTTACCCACTCGAGCTCCACGTTGGGCCTTGAACACCAGAGAGAAAAGCTGCACTGCTTTCAGACTGACTTCCATCTATCTCCTCTTTAATGATGGAGGAACAGCAGCTACATCCTGATTGATGTTGGTGAAGGCCAGCGGCACCAGGACTGATCCTCTCACCTCTCCCCGGAGCACGCCTCAGCCTGGCATCTGCTAAAGGGCACAGGTACGCCGTCCTGTGCCCTTGTCCCGCCCCCGCCTATTTGATCAGGGGCCAAGAGTGACCCC